GTCAATTCCGACTTTGCTATGACAATCTGGCGCTTCTGAATCAGCGACTGTAAGTATGTTTTTTAATTAGTTTAAGTATTTGCTATTGACTGTTCAAATGCGGAGTTTTGCGCAGCGCAGAGTAACGCATTGTGTTTGTGTGTGTGAGGGGAACAGGGTCACATCACAGGAGAGTGAACTGCCTGTCAGAAATCATAGCACGTCAGCTGTCTTAACCGCGGCTTGTGTACTGCATCATCACTGTGTCTTTCACGCGACTCTGTTTCCCTTTCGGGCTTGAACTGATGGTAAAACTAACGACATTATTAACTGTCTTGATATTTACTTTGAAAGCTGAAGCTCGCGATTATGGTAAGGGGCATTACATTTCCGACACGTGCTTGTGGTCTTCGGCCAATCACAATGCACTGGGTCAGATGGCCAATCAGAACAGACTACGCTTGTCAAAGGAGGGGGCTTTGTTGAAAACGACGCGTTTGAGAGAGGCGGGGCATAGAGGACCTACAATAGAGTACAGTATTTGAAAAATAATATGTTTTTTGAACATTAAAGCATGTCAACATATTCTGTTACACCAAATAATAATCTTTAAAATAGCATCATATGACCCCTTTAACAAATTCTGGCACACAGGTGAGAACACAAGAAATTACAGAGGGGTGAGGAATAGTGCTACGGCAAAATTGGGGAGCGGAAAGAAAAAGGCTATCACGGTTTTCATAAAAATGTTAAGCACAACTGTTTTCAAAAGTGATAATAACAAAAATGTTTATTGAGCAGCAAATCAGCATATTAGAATGATTTATGAAAGATCATGTGACACTGAAGACTGGAGTAATGACTGCTAATACATTCAGTTTTGCCATCACAAGAATAAATGACTTTTTTAAATATATTCAAATAGAAACCAGTTATTTAAAAAATATTTCACAATATTACTGTTTTGCTGCATTTTTAATCCAATGAAGGCAGCCTTGGTGAGCTTGGTGAGACTTCAGAACACACAGTAGTGTATCTTTTTGTTATATCACTTAAACACAGGTATTTGTGTTCTATTTATTTCAAATAAATGCACTTGGTTTGACATTTTATCTAATGCAATAACATTCAGACATTTTGAAGTGTGGCTTAAGCATCCAAATACTTCACACAGGCTGCTTTACACACACAGGCCTCTGTATGTTTAACAATTTCTGGCACAGAATACAAAAAAAACGATAGAGAGGTAAGGAACAGTGCTATTTGGGGAGTGGACAGAAAAAGGTTCTCACATTTAAAAGGAGCCAAAATGGACAATGTACAGTGATTGATTGCTTAATTTTTCCAACTAACAGTGTGTGCTCACAGTTCCTTAGGCAAATAATGACGTGCAAACAAAATGATTTTTTTCTCACCCTTCACTGATTTATATAGTTAATTCATATTGTTTAAAATTCATAACAGAGCACCTGCCTACAACTGCAGACGTCTTAGTTTTGTTCAGGTCTGATGGAGACTAACTGTGGAACAGACTCTTTTATTATAGTATATATAGTATTTGCTGCTTCTTAGTGTTTCATACATATTCAATAATTCTCTGATAAAAAGACACCTAGCCCAAAACACTAATCCGCTGGTTTGGATTTGCTCCTAATAGACGGTATTGTTCTAAATGGAAATGCATCGCCGTCAAGGGTTTATCAGCAGAGTACACACTGTGTATGTTTACCAGAAAGACTTGTGTAAAATGCAAATCAAACACACACACTCTAATTCACACACACATCTTGTCGCTATACTGTGTTTTTAACTAATCAAATGAAATGAGCACACAAAACTTATCAGAAGTAACAGAAAAAAATCCCAAGTAAACTGAATCAGGCTTAGTTTTAAAGCGCTACTGCCCATTAGCTAGCGGAGATGATCACAGATATTTTAGCCCAGAAAAGTGTGTGTGTGACAGTGGATAATGATGACTTATAGAAAAGGGCAGTGGACCACTGGCACTTTGACAGCACTGAGGTTATCATCAGCTGGCACAAATAAGATAAAGAGCTTTGGTTTAGGGAAATAACAGCATAGACAGCGTTTCATGAAAGACAAGGCAAATTCTTCATCCGCACCTCTCTTACGCACCAGTGGAAACTCATTTCCACACTCAACCTACGGTATACAGGAGCAGAGCACTTAAAACGACATCCATTTATTGAAGCTGGTGAGCTGTAAACAATGCAACTTTGAGTGTTTGAAGAGTCTTGCACATGCAAATTATCAGAAGTTCTCCATCTATACTGTATCTCAATAGCTATGTTACTGTCTCCCACTTGGAGCGAATGGAGGTTTTATTCATTTGTTTGTTCATTGTTTTCTGGGGACAAAACTGCTTTATGAACAAGAAACTATTCCAAGAAAATTCTGTTATATTTTCATGAACAAATACAATACTGTTCAAAGGTTTGGGGTCTGTAAGATTTGTTGTTGTTGTTGTTTTGAAAGAAAGAAATACTTTTATTCAGCAAGTTTGGGGTCAGTAAGATTTTTTTAAAGAAATAAATGCCAAGTTCTGTCATGAAACTCTAGATGGCGCAGGCTATGGGTCCTTAACGCAACTGATGATATTCTTAGCACTAAACGACTTGTCACAAGCTGATTGGTTCCCGTTGCATACGCAGCCAATGAGCTTGCTGCTTTACATTTAAATGGCTGATTAGCATTCGCTTGAGCATTCGCTTGAGCATTCGCTTGAGCATTCGCTTGAGCATTCGCTTGAGCATTCGCTTGAGCATTCGCTTGAGCATTCGCTTGAGCATTCGCTTGAGCATTCGCTTGAGCATTCGCTTGAGCATTCGCTTGAGCATTCGCTTGAGCATTCGCTTGAGCATTCGCTTGAGCATTCGCTTGAGCATTCGCTTGAGAATTGCAGCGCGCTTTAAGAGTTTCTCTGAAACCCTCCACCTTCCCCAGCTCCATCTGTATAGATCTGCTATGGGTTATTTTATATGCTATTTGCGCACAAGACCAAATACATTAACATTGTCATATCCATTACCATGCAAAAATTTTCCGAGAGTTCTCATGATTGAAATACTTTTATTCAGCAAGGATGCATTAAATTGAAAAGTAAAAGTAAAGACTTTCACATTGTTACAAAAGACTTCTATTTAAATAAATTATGTTAATTTTTACTTTATATTCATCATCGAATCATGAAAAATATGTATGGTATGGTTTACATACAAAACAAAAAGCAGTAATAATGAAAAATGTTTCTTGAGCAGCAAATCAGCATATTAGACAGTGCAGACTGGAGTGAAAATGCTGAAATTTAGCTTTGCCATCAACTTTTTAAAATAGGAAACTGTTATGTCAGATTGTAATGGTATTTCACAATATTACAGTTTTTACTGTATTTTTAATCAAAATCTTATTGACCCCAAACTTTTAATGGTAGTGTATATTCCTATCTTAATTGGAATTTGATCATACCTTCATTACATAAGCATCATGTAGACACATTAAACCAATTGCTATAACGTAAAGCATGCATTTAGATGTGAACTTTCACCTTCTTCTCATCGCCGTCCTGCAGAAGCTGCATGTGGCTTCGGCCCTGACTGTTGGACCTGCGCAGGGTGGCGCTTCGATGCTCCGTCAGCAGGTCAGGGGGTGGGGTCACGCTGCGCCCCTGCGGATCCACCCAGGTGTAGACATGATTTGTGACATAACCGCCTGGGATACGGCCCACAGAACGCACTGACATGGAGAGCTTTTTGCTGCCCTTCAGCACCTGTTAAAGAGTGACAGACAGAAATAGCGGTACAATCAGTCTAGCGTGTCTGCTAAGCGATAAAAGGCAAAGACAGTTATGGGAATGTCAAGATATTCATGCGAAAATGCTAACATTTCCACTCCATAAGATAAAAAGCTCCATCAACACACACACCGCACACGGTGTCGACAAAGCTACCTGAAAACTGAAGCTTTGCTCAAAACTCAAGCTACAAGTTCCACAATTTAAAGCAGTTAAAAATGTTAAGTTACTAACAAAAAGCTAAATACATTGAAGCTATTTAAGGGGGCAATATATATATATATTTTTAAACAATTGTTAATAAATAGCTAAATAAATAGAGAAAATAAATAGATATAAATAAATAAACAGATAAACAAATTATTTAAAATGTAAAAAATATACATATTTTGAAGCTAAATTTTGAAGCTATTTAAGGAGGCAATATCTTTAAAATAGTAATTAATAAGTAGATATTATATAGAAATAAAATAAATAGATCAAATATAAATTATTAGAAATTAATAGAAATTAATAAATGGATTTATGAATAACTAAATTGATACATATAATTAATAAACAGATACAAATAAGTTACAAATAAATAAATAAGATAAATACAAATTATTTAAAAAGTAAAATAAAATTATAAATAGATAAATAAAATTAAATAAAAAGATTATTACATAAATAAATTAAATTAATCTCAAATAGATAAAATTAAATAAATAAATAATTTACAATTATTTAAAATATTTAAAATATATTTAAAAATAAATGGAAAACTGACCAAATCAAACAATGAAGATCTATAAGACTTTTAACTTAAACACATAATTTAAAGCAGATTTTGATTCATCCCAGTATATTGAATCTTTTGATTCAGTTCACCAATAGTATTCAAATAGGGTTCAGATTCACGGAATAATATACACATTTATACACTAAATACAACTCTAAACACCCTAATTAATCAAAAACAGAGAATTTAACTAAATATTCATAATATTCATATAAACTAAATATTTTATAAAATGAGGTGTAGACAATTCTGTGCAAGAACTTAAATGAATTGGTGAATCATTTTAGAAGCAGTTCACGTACATGAATTGTTTGAACAAAACAATTCAATAAAATAGAACAGTTTTTACAAAGCTACACACTGCTACTGGTTAAAAAAAAAGCTATGTTATTTTGAAAAGAGCTGAACAACTGAAAAATAAAGTTAAGTTAACACAGTTGCTCCAACACTTCTAAAACACATAGGTAGATCTCTGCTCAGAGACATACAACACAGAGGAACATGGAAGTCCCCCGGTGCCTCATTGGTCTCTCATGCTGTGCTCACTATCACTCCACAGATCAAGGGTAGTACAACTGACACTATGGGATGCCACAAATTCAGTTGAGTGTCAAATGACACTGTTCCCTCTTCTACAACACACACACACACACACACACACACACACACACAGACACACACTAAGCTGTCATTAAACACATCCCAATGCAACCCCAGAACCTATTATTGGCTTGAACTCAGAGAACTTCCTGTTCTCAGGGTGGCTTCACAGCATCTACTTCCCATGCAGCTCAGACTCCCTCGCAATGCACTTCAGAAACGGGGAGTTTGTTTCTGCAGGCACGCTCCGTTGCGTATCTCTGACCTAGTTCTGCTGAATGTTTATTGAGTTATTTCAGTGGCAAAATACAGTGGTCCAGATTTGAAGTGTAACATAATAAAACTGCTTATTCGTGACTCACTCCTTCCATTGAAAATAAACACCAGTGGTGCTTCATAAATCCCCAAAAAATGTTTCAAAGCCCAAAGTTTGGATTTATTTAGGAGTTAATCTGGTCCTTAAGCATTTGGTTTAGTTTCTTGCCTGGGACGAGATTTGCCTGAGTTGTTTAAGTGGGTGACAAGTTGTTTTTTTGGAATAGGAGAATGCAGAGCAAAGACAAATAAAATGCTGACACATCGGAATGAACAGAAAAAAAAGAGAAAGGGAGATGAATGACATAATACAAATTTCTTAAAGAGATGGTTTACCCAGAAATTACATTCTGAGATTTTTTTTTTCTTAAAGTCTCTTTTTTCAGTAATATTGTAAAATATTTTTACAATTTAAAATAACTGATTTAATAATTTTCAGTTTTGAGTGTCACATGATCCTTCAGAAATCATTCTAATATGCTGGTTTGGTGCTCAAGAAACATTTATTTTTATTTTCAATGTTTAAAACAGTTGTGGTGATTAATATTTATTTATTTTATTTTTATTTATTTATTTTTCAGGATTCTTTGATGAATTGAAAGTTCAAAAGAACAGCATTTATTTTAAATTAATTTTAAATTTTTTTTTTTAAATATAAAAGTCTTTGATGTCATTTTTGATAAATGTATTGTGTTCTTGCTGTATGAAAGTATTAATATATTTTAAAAAATTGTTACTGCATCCAGACTTTTGAATGGTAGTGTTTATTATTATATTATATACATATTATAATATATTTTGATGCTTTTATAGTTCTTTTGTGTCTATCTTGACGCTTGAAAGTCCCATTCACTGTAATTGCATGGAAAAAAACAACAAGTACATCCTTCAAAATTCTTCCTTTTACATTCCACAGAAGAATAAAGTCACATGAGATTGGAACAACATAGTGAACTACTCCTTTAAGCGACTAGAGGAGAAGATAAAAAAAGCTTTGTCCCTGCGGTGCATACTAACAAATAAAAGAGCGCCTGGCAGCAAGATTCTTAATGCACCATCGCTGCTCTAAAGTGCTGACTGTGACACTGTCTGATGGAGTGTCAACAAATGAGTGGAGTAACCAAATACTGTTGAATGAGAGAGAGAGAGATGGAGATGGAGGGATGGAGAAGGAGAAGGAGAGAAAGCAGACATCTTATCAAAGGCCTCCTGCATATGATATGCCACAATGTCACCTTAGGAAAGCCAATAATGTGGGAAAATGCATTAATAGCCCCAAGCAAGAACGGAAGGACATAATGGAAGAAAATTTCATGCTGCCGAGAGAGACGAGAAATGTAGGGTTTAGCTCATCTAGAAAACTTAAACTCAACATAAAACATTTGCAACCTATTTTACTTCCATAAATGTGACGTTGCAGAGGTGGAGTAACACCGTAAGACCAGGAATGCGCATTAGGAAGGAAAGTCAATTTTGATTTCACATTGACTTTAAAGGCCATGAACACTTAAAGCTAATTGCTCAATTCATATGAACACCAGCACACGCACACACACACACTGAGCTGCTAGGCATTCTGTTTATTTACTGTCATTTCCAATGGGACCGATAAAGCATCTGAGGGCAGAATGAGAAATCAAGTCATAAATGCCGAATGTCTGAGCATGTGACGCTCGTGTGCAATGACCAGCTGGCACGGATACTGAAGCAAACAGAAAACGCATACATAAACTGACAATCTGCGATAGTTGCTTTGAATTAGCATAACAAAAAAGGGCCAATTAGATGATCACAAAGGGTAATTGGGTCTGGTTAGCAGTGCCGTGTGCTCAGAATGCGTTTATGAGATTACGCAGACGAGCTAGGAAGGGGCGCAGGAGACATTTGCATGTGATTGAGCGATTCTGAATGAAAACCAGGAGGACAATGAATCTAAAATATTTAAGAATCAATGTAGTACAATTAGATGGATCAGAGGCAGTTTTTGTGCTCACATGTGGTGCGTTTATATCATCCCAACAGTTCTTTCATTTAGTACGGAGTTATGATCTTTGAACATAATTTACACTGACATTTAGAATGATTTTTTATGTTTTCAAATAAAAGGCTGCATTTGTAAAACACAGTGAAACAGTAATATTGTGAAATAGTATTACAATTTAAAATAACTGTTTTCTAATGAGTATATTTTAACATGTAATTTATTTATCTGATGGCAAAGCTGAATTTTTATTAGCCATTACTCCAGTCTTATTAAAAATTATGACAAACTTATTCACTGAAGCATACAAACCAGGCTGCATGCTTGCTGCAAGCTGTACTCTAGGCTAACGCTTTGACACTTGTAAATATGCAACTACGCAATGCTGTGGAAAGTAAAATTTAAAAGTAACAAGTTACAATATTGCGATTTGCAACTCATTTTAATTACAGTATAACATTTCAAGAAAAAGCAATGTGCTGAGTTACTTTGAAGCACTATGCTCGATTTCCAGGCATTGGAATTGCTTTTTTTTTTTTTTTTGCTGTAAAAAAGTGTTTATTCCCCCCAAAAGAGTTAACTAACATGCTATGACAAGCAGGCTGACCGTCCACCAGTGACTGCCATGAGTCATGCGTTCCTCTTAGGCATTACTGCATAAGTAAAATCTCATCTGCCAAAGCAATAACAAAACAATTTCTCATTTATTTTATATAATGAGAGGCCAGGCACAACAAAGTACAATTTTAACAATAGTTTGTCACTGAAGGATAATGAATTATGCTCAAAGTTTAGTAGTAAAATGGCAGAATTTGTCCGAAATGTCATCTGGAGAATGACATGTGTTGCAGGCAGTGAGGTCTGATATAGTTTGACAGCTCCAGACAGCTTTCAACAGTTCTGTCCAGAGCTGTGGCATCTTATGCTGGACGGATCGATCGAACTACGGCAAGCTTCTACAGCAAACATTTCTCGCTCTCTCTATGTATCCTTTCCATCTATCTCCCTTCCCTGCTTTCCAACTTCATGTCTCTCATTCATCTCTCATTCTTATTTATTAGTTATTTAGCAGGGGTCGACACCACATGGGATGACAAGAGGGATGGAAAAGGAAAGAGTTGGAGTGAGAGAGATAGAGAGCGCTCGACTTAAGGGCAGATTTTGTGCTCGAATCAGGGGGAAGATTAAGGGAGATTTTTCACTCTTTGACTGAAACATGAGAGAATAGTTTAAGAGGTTTTGCAAACAACAAAAACAGACAAAGCATGGTGGGACATACAAATATAGTACCGACAAACA